AGACACCTATCTGAAACAGCCACAACCATGAAAATCGCCATGAGTAGCCCAGGGACAAAATGCCATGACTGGTTCACTGACAGGAAAAAAACTGGAGGGCTCCAGTTGGAATTTCTAGATGAGAGCGTAAGAAAGCACAGTTGCAGAGAGAGGTCAGGAGCAGGAGAATGTGAGTACCTTGCAGTGGCCAGAAATTAGGAAAGGCACGGGGACAGCCAGCAGCAAGTACCCCAGCTGCTGAGCAGGTGGCAAGCTTTAGGAGACATGGGAGGCAAGACTCAGATGGCTCTGCGAACCCACAGATTGTAATCTTTGAAGATCCAGGCGTGGTGGGTGTCTGTCTGGAGTGGCAAATGCCCACCTGCATCTTATTCACTCCTGAAAGTATTAGCATACTGCTCAGGAAGCTGTCTCCTGGGTGCTGCTTTAGCCGTGGAGAGACGAAGGCGCTTCTTGCCGTATGGCCCAGCGGTGATGGTCCTGTGTCATCCAGCTCTCTGTGCTTCCCCATCTTCCTCCAGGGAGATGGCAAGAACGTTGAAACCACCCTGGGGTGTCATGAAGAATTAGCTTGGATTTTCCTTTTAAGGAGGCAGGGTAATTTGTTAATATATTTCATTTCAGATACATTACTCAACACCAGTGGAAAGGTGTTCTGTAAAATTTTTACCTAAACTCACCTAGTTCCTAACAATTCCTGAAGAGACCTTTGGCTGATTTGTGTTCTGAAAATAGGATGTCAAGAATGATATCCCTCCACTTTGGTTCAGCGTCCGGTTAGTCTCTGGGAACCTTAACAAATCACACGTGTTCGGAAAGGGAAGGAAGATGTATTTAAGTTATTAATGTCTTTGGGCTTCTTGATCATACAACTGTTTACCTCCTGAGATTTAAGTGTGCACTTCTGAAATAGAAAAATACATGTGTATGTTTTGATTGTGACAGTCTGCTGGCATCTTAGCCCTGGCTCTGGCTGAGATTCTAGGCCATTCTATCGCCTATTATGCTGTCCAGATTTGCATCTCTCTAGAACAGCAATCTAGTGATATTTTCCGCCACATTTTTTTTTTTTTGAGGAAAAAAAAAAAATGCCTGTTCGAGTCATGTAGGAGATTGGTCCTCTCATTCTGTCTGTCATGATTTTATAGTAACTTTTTCCGTTTCCCTCATTTCCTTGAACGTTACACTGTTCTATATAAATAGGGATTATCAGCGCACACTAGTCAATCATAAGTTTTGAAATACTTTATGTAGAGGAAAATGTTTGAAAAATGTGTTGTTGTTTTTTCTAAAATGGTTCACAGCCTTTATTACTGAGGAGCTGGGGGGGAAAACACAGCCTGAGATGCGGTAAAATGTAAATTAGGTCACCTCTTAAGTTTTGGGGTGTGTGTGTGTGTGTGTGTGTGTGTGTGTGTTTTAACACATATTGTTTGCCTTTGGTCCCATTTTATTGGACAGGAAACTGAAGCCAGAATGTTAACTTTCCCAAGGTCACACAGCTGAGTCCTGAATGGCCCTCTATTCTTAGGGTCATCAGACTCTTGAGAGAGGAATGATTGGGATCTAAATGTGAAAGTAGTTGGGTTATGTTCAGGAGAATTTCTGCTGGGGAGATGGAATATTCTCAGGCTGATTTAAAAAACAAACAAACAAGAAAAATGCCTCCTGGAAATCTCTGAGACGTGACGGACTTCCCACTCGAATCTGAGTTATTTCAAGAGTATGCTGGGATGAGACAATGAAAAGCGTTGGGACAGTTTGTTAGTTCGGCCCGATACGCTTTGAAAGGGCAACATATAAAGGGCTAATTTGGAATTTGCTCAAGCAAATGAGGTGGAGACAGTTGTAGGCATTTCTAAGAAGACGGCAAATAGCGCTTCAGATGTTTCAGTTACCTTTCTGGACATACATCCTTTGAATAGGGTTGCCCTTGTAACTGGACATGGTGATTTGTGGAAGCACCGGGGAGACTTCTTCATAGCTTTGTTTCTATGAGCCGTGAATGTTTTAATGCTTTGCTGGTAAAACATAGCCAACTTTGTGAGGCGATGAGCTTTATTGTTTCAATAGGCTAGCAGAGTCCTGGGACCCAGGATAGGACAGCAGGGACCTGATAGAAATGATAGGATAGACTCAGGACCTAGCCCTGCTTCTTAGATACTAATGCATCTGTTCTGCTAATGTAGAAACTAATGTTTAGGGGGGGAAAGCTTCGTTTTTCATAATAATAGGTCATCGAAGTAACAGCACTGATTAGACAGCTGATCTGAGGGTTCAAGTACATAACATATCCAACCACTTGGAAAATTATAAGAATTCTTCCAGTATTGTGTGTTGCTGTTATCATTGAACCAGGAGAGACAAAACCAGTAAGTTGTGTGGTTTGACAGCTGAGTCAGAGATATTTGTGTATTTAGAAATTCGACAGGGGCTGCTACAAGGTATTTAGAGGATAGTTTTTATTTTTGCACCAAAAATAAGCTACAAATATTTATAAATTGTCCAAAGCAAAGAACAGAGAAGTTCTCTGTCGGCTAATGTGGTTGACTTTGACACCATCGGGCCAGAGGACCGTTAGCCCTGTGTGTTTTGATCATGACCCTGATGGCATAAGTGGCATGTAGATGTAAACAGAATAATTGAATTGCAGGGTTTTCAAGCTAGCAAGGACCTCAGAAATCATCTAGTCCAGTGGTTTTCAAACTTGATATTAGCAGCAGACTTTTTCCTTTAAAATGGAACCTTAGGTGGAACCCCAGCTGGTAAAACAGATAAGAATAAGGGGTTTCCTCTGGCCCTTGAAATCTTGATTGTTTGGGGGAAAAGTTCTTCATTACCTGCAGAATCCCTTAAAAGCACCTCAGGTGGCACAGTTTGAAAACCACTGATCTAGTCCAACCCTTTCATTTTACAGATGAGCAAACTGAGGTCCAGAGAGGTTAAGTGGCTTGCCCAAGGTCACACAGCTAGTCGTGGAAGAGCCAGGACTAGATCTCAGGTCTCTTGATTCCCAGTCCAGTGCTCTTTCCACTACACCACCCTGCCGGTAAGGTAGGTGCTGTGTTAGCATTATGTTCGTAGCTACTAATAGTCTTCAGTATTTTCCAAATGCTGGTCATGCACATTGAATGTTGAAGTGTGTTATTTAGAAATGTAGAGGATATGAAAATACAGATTCGAATGACATAAATATACTCTGAGAAGATAAATTGATAGCTAGAATGTTCCCTTTCCCTTTTGAAAATTATTTTAAAGCAGTGCATTTAGCTAATGTCTGAGATACATTGGGCATTTTAGTCTGTTATCGATGATCGGTATGTATGGAGTCAATGTGTTTCAGACACAGGCTCTGATGGGGCGGCATTAAGACTTCTCGCTGCCACTCTCGCGAGGACCATGCCCTGCTATCATTTCCAACGTTGCCCAGGCTCCTGTCTCTAGAACGGTGCATCTTTCTTTGGCATGCAGTGGGCATATATTCATTTCACATTGAACCCTGCAGAGTTTCAGTTCTCTGTGTGCTTGGGCCTTCTGTCTCTAACTCCTCCATCCTCCTCAACCGGTGTGTATAAACTGTCACCAAGGCTCTACCCTAAAGGGACATACGGGATGGTTCATGATAGAATCTTACTGCTCTAATCTCTGCATCTCTGTTGTTGAGTTCGTTTCCATGCAGATCCCTCTGGTATCATCAGACAGAGTATCCTGGACAGTAGGAAACCAGGAAAAGTGTCTTAAAAGGTCTCTATGCTATTGTCACCCACCTAAAACCAAAAGGCATGTGGAAATCTACAGTTACTGTGACTTGGTAGAATTCTCGTGGGGAAATTTCCCTGGGAAAATAGGTGTTATCACTGGCCTAAGGACAGAGTACTGGTCTTGTGGGGAGAGCCAAACACCAAGGAAACAATTAATTTAGGAGCTGTGATTTCTGTCAGTGTTGGATGTGGATCATTCTTATCTTACTGGATATACTGAGTGGGTCTCTAAGAATAGAGATATATACAGCCCCCAAATATTTCTTTAGCCCTATTTCTGTTTGAGACTCGAGGAGCAGTGATTAGTTATCAGGGCTCATTGGTAGACTGTATTCCTTCTGAAACCCAAGTTCAAAGCTCTGCGTATCACATCACGAAGTACAGTCAGGGTGTGCCCATCTTGCCCTGAGACCTGATGACAGGTCACATAAGCTCTCTGGGCGAGCTTCCTCTGCTTTAAGGGGGGCTTACTTCCAGGTGGCTGTTTATGACTGCTGATGAATGATCTTGGTGACAAAGGCAATGTCAGACTCCCAGACATGGCATGGCTTTGCTGTATTCGTTCAGTTGGGTCAGCCCTTTGCAGTAGAACTTTCTGGGATGATGGAAATGTTCTGTATCTGTGCAGTCCGATACCGTTGCCAGAGGTGGTGATTGAGTACCCGAAATGTGGCTACTGCTAATGAAGGACTGAATTTTAAGCTTAATTTCAGTTAGCTTCCAGTGAAATTTAGACAGCTGCATGTAGCTATTGTATTGGGTAACACAGCTCTTAGATGTTCTGACATGAAAGTCAGATGCCAAGTTGGATAAATGGAACAGACTCCCCTTAAGAATTCATCAAGAGAGTGATGCCACACTACCTTGATGAATCTTCATCGAAGATAGTTCAGTTTTGGGGTAATTTGTTTGAAATCAGGTACTCATTTTTGAATGAAAGTGTTAACCATAGAGGGAGGTTGGGATTCCTCTTACTTGTGACCCAGCCAGCTGAGTTTCAACTGAAAAGATATTTGCTAACTTGAGGAGTGGACTCATTTTCTCATGTGTGCAGTCTTGTGATTCTTTAGGCCTCAGTATGGGTTTCAGTGAATTCCCATAGGTCTTCTGGGAAGCTGAGTTTTAGAAAGTTTCTGGCCAATAAAGAAGCATTCTGTTTATATTATAAGTTCAAATGTGAGTATCTGAACTATGCTGGCTTTTGAGTAACATGACGCAACTCTTTTCTTCCCCCTTCAGAACCAAAGAAAATGGCTTTGACAGAGAGCCTTTGCACTCAGAACATCCAAGCAAGCGACCATGCACTATTAGCCCAGGCCAGCGGTACAGTCCAAATAACGGCTTGTCCTACCAGCCCAATGGCCTGCCTCACCCCACCCCACCTCCACCTCAGCATTACCGTTTGGATGATATGGCCATTGCCCACCACTACAGGGACTCCTATCGACACCCCAGCCACAGGGACCTCAGGGACAGAAACAGACCTATGGGTAAGACTGAAGGATCTGTTCACTTCCTATGGGATTGGAGGCGTAAAGACTCACTCATTACTTCTCAACTGAACTTGAGGCTTGAAATCTGTGATAGGGGTAAAAATTCTCCTTCCTTTCTTTTTATTGTCTCCTTTATCAGAACGCTTGGCTAGTATTAATATGTTCTTTAACAGCTGTGCTTTCTCTCTCAGTTACTTACAGTCTTCATGGCAGCAGGCTAATTTTTTTTTTTTTTTTTTTTTT